GGTGAAGAAGTTGTCTCCATGTTCGTGAATATGACGGAATCAGATATAGAACCTGACCACGCCACTTTTGCTTCTCTTCTCTCTGCTTTTAGCCACTTAGGTCTAGTAGAACAAGGCCAGCATTGGTTCAGCGCCATGAGAAACAGATATAATATACAACCGAGCGAAAAACATTACGTTTGTTTGATTGATCTTCTTGCACGTTCAGGGAGAGTGGAAGACGCTCTTGACATGATAAACTCTGAGAAACTTGATAATGCTCTGCCCATTTGGGTTGCTCTTCTTTCAGGATGCATTAAGCATAGGAATCTATCAGTTGGTGAGATAGCTGCTAATAGGATTCTAGAGTTGAATCCGGATAACACTGGAATCCAAACACTGGTTTGTAACTTCTTTGCCACTGCGAAAAAGTGGAAGGAAGTGGCTAAAGTGAGGAAGTTAATTAGAAGTGGGACCACGGAGAAAGTGCCAGGGTACAGTGTGATCGAGGTGAATGGACAGCTTAGAACATTTCTCATGGAGGATCTGAGCCACCATGAGCATTATCACATGTCGCAAGTGTTGAGGGACTTGTGTTCTGAGATGAGAGATGTGTATACGTGTACATCCATTTCTGAATGTGCTAATTCCCGTTACTAGTAGTAGTACTGTTGTTAAGCGATAACTGGTGGTTTCTAGTTACTATGTTTTCATTGGTGGAACTCAAAATCCAAGAAACAGGAGTCGTTAACCGTAGCAGCAGCACTGAAGCTGAATACATAAGTCTAGCCAATCCGACTTGTGATTTGCTCTGGTTATATCAGCTACTCCGTGCGTTTAAAGTACAAGTCAGGCTTCTTGTTACTTGTAACTGTGCAACAGGTTTGCTCTACATCATGCTTCCAACCCACTCTTTCACGAGCACACTAAACATGTTAAACCTTACTGCCATACTATTCGTGATCAACTCAAGTTGGGATTCATCAATACTTTCCATGTTGCTTCCACCAACAATTTAGCTGCCATCTTGACAAAGATGTTTCATTAAGGATCATTTCATTAGCTTTTGCCTTGCATGTCAGTTTCAAACTTTTACCTTCCTAAAGATAACAAGGATTATAGGCCTAGGTTGATATTTATGATGTACATAACCATAGTCAGGTAGAGCACTTATGATAATTAATTTTGATAAAATATAAACCACAATGTATAGTTTGAGATACGAACAACAACAAAAAAAAGATCGTGGATTATGATAGGAGGTTTTGAAGGAAATCATTGGATATAATGAAAAAAAAAAGAGAGGAAGGTAACATTTTGACAGTCCGTTTCTACCTTTCAGATAGATGTTAAGCGATTGTGAGATGTTGGAATTTCCATTTATTGGGAACATGCTATCTTGGGTAGGGAAACAATTGGGAGCATGCTATTTTGGGCAAGGAAACGAACAAGAGGAACAACTGTCAAATGCCGCCTGGATAGAGCTGTTAGAAATAAGGAATTTCTATTTATTGGGAACATGCTATCTTGGATAGGGAAACAATTGGGAACATGCTATCGTGGATAAGGAAACAAAAAAAGAGGAACAACTGTCAGATGTCACAAAGCTGTTGGGAATGAAGATTGGCATGAGAAGTCTTCTCACTCTACGGTGAAGTATATGAAGCTATGGGGATCAACTCAACGTCCGGTCCTAACATATATTCTCATAAAACCAACAAGGAGGTCTTGAGGGATTGTTGCAGAGAAAGAAGCCATGTTTCAAGAAGATCATTTGTCTCTTTTTATTTTATTTTATGCTAGGAATCACTTGTTAGCCTTCTTAATCATGTAGATAATCAGTAGAAGATAACATGGATGCATGTTACTCTCGCGTGTCCCTCTGTATCACACCTTCTCTTTGCGGAAGATAGTTTTTTATTCTTTAAGGCGGAGCTCTGTGAATGTAAAGAAGTGATGAAAGTAGTCAAGAAACATGGACAAGCATCCGAACAATGTATTGTTGGGGTCAAAATCCGTCATGACGGAATCAATGGCTATAAGTTTTGGAAAAAGCATACAAGAAACTATAGACTGTCTACGAAGATACGAAATTACGGAAAACTTGTATCAAAGTATGAAATAGTTAAAAACCCATGTTGGGGTCAAAATCGGTTATGACGGAATCAACGATTAAAACTTTCCGCAAAGTTAAGAATATGTTTTTGATATACGAAAAAGTGTCGAGAAGAAATCTAAGGATTTTCCGAGCAAAGGAATTCTGTAAACTTAACAATCGTCATTTTGGAAATCATCGCAAAATCGAATATAACAATCCGCGATTGTCCGAATTGGCCAAGTTAGCAAAACACGGCTGCAACGTCCAAACTCTCTGATATACCATGATTTTGACCCACTTTTAGCCATAGTATTGATATGTTTTTATAAGTTATATATATGTTTTAGAGTCTATTAGGTATGTTTTCAGGTTCAGGAGCATTTTGGAGTAAAGTGATGATTTAGGTGCCCTTATGGAGCTTAAAGGAGAGTTTTCCGAGATGACTATGAAGATCAGATAACAAGGATACATATCGATCGATACACATCCTGTGTAATCGATCGATGACGCTTCCATAGAAGATGAAATCGAGATACTCCATCGATCGATGTACGCCATCATGTACAATCGATCGATATGAAGCGTGGAGAACAAGTCCGACTTAGCTGACTTGAAGCCCAAGTTTTCCCAATATTACAAGATTGCCCTTGACGAGTTTTTAATCTAATGGAACTCATATTTATAGTTTTGCCTATGTGTTTTGGCAAAGGGTGCTTTTTGGTGTCATTTGTGTTTTTATGCTTTTGTGTTTTTGATACTATTTTATACTTAGCAATAAAGTATTCTTTTCATTTTAATTCTCAAAGGTTATAGAATTTTAGATTCAGAAGAAACACACAAAGAGATTTGTTCTTCCAAAGAACCAAGAGTTCAATCTTCTAATCTTATGAATTTCTATTATTACCTTGCTGTTATGAATCTCTTAGCTATGTCTGAGTAGATTCCTTTGTTAGATTTAGGGTTCAAATAACTATGAGGGATTAGCCCCAACTATGGAATGTTGAGTTGTGATATTCATTATCCAAATGAACCCTAATGCTTACTCTAGAGTAGCTAACTATAGTATGATCATGGATGTGATTTAACTTGTTAATCATTATCCTGAAATCATTTGGCATAAGCTTAGATCCTCTAGGGATGTGCGAGAGCCGGTCTATGATCTTGGTGAACACAGTTTCGATTCGATCTTATGATATATCGATCGATACTCCTATAGAGTTATCGATCGACAGCAACCCATATCGTCCGATATCGCTGTCAAAACATCGGTCGATATTGCCGACAATAAGATCAATGGATGAGTCTATTTAGAGACTGCTATTATATCTGTCTAAGAATCGAAGTTCTTATATATTTTGCAAGAAACTTACTAAAACATCTGTAGCATTATAATCTTAATTATCTGAATAGCAACCTTGAATCTAACTACTTTCTTTTATTGTTTTAAAACCAAAAGCTATTCTCTTGAGCAACTCATCATTGCTCATAAACTGCAATTTACTATTTTAAACCTAATCAACCTAGCATAATGATTTAGGATTACATCTTTTGTGTTCCTCAGTTCCCTGTGGGTTCGATCCCTAAGTACTACAACTGAACCTCTTATTTGAGAGAGTAATTCACTCCTTAGGGTAATTTGAGTGATATCACTCTCCGAAACGGTAAAGCTGTTATTAAGGTCGAAAACGATAGCCTCGAGATCAACGTCTACGATTATTTCTCCTTATAATCTCTGAGAGGATCTCGGATCGAGAAAACAAGAAACGGTCAAAACCAAACAACCTACCAGTTCGCCAACAAACAAGCTGTCCATCCCTGACCAGCTCGCTTGTTGGCGAGCTGAACCGACCAGTCCAGCTCGCCAACAGGCGAGCTGGCCATCCTTGACCAGCTCGCCTATTGGAGAGCTGAACCAACTAGTCCAGCTCGCCAACAGGCGAGCTGGCCGTGCCTGATCAGCTCGCATGTTGGTGAGCTGAACCAAACTATCCCTGCCCCTCGACTCGATCGTACTCTGAACCGTGATCGGAACAACTCTCGTTTCGTCTCGATCCGTCTTACCATTGGAGTTTTACGATAAAAACCGTAAAGGCTTGTTTTCTTGTAAAACCTCAAGTAAATCATAGAAAACGGCAACGATTAAACAAAACACCGAACATTGCCAAACTATACGATTAACTCTAGATATTTTATAAAAATCCCGCTAAAGACTTGTTTTCTCATAAAACCTCGAGTAAACCGTATAAAACGGCAGCGGTTAAACAAAACCGAATATTTCCAAACTATACGATTAACTCGAGATGTTTTATAAAAAACGACATCGTATCATGAAAGATCTCATCTAAAGTCATAAAACGGCTAATCGCAAAACGGCTTGGAAATTCCTGAAATGCGATAAAATCCAACTCACGACTTTAGACAAGATCCATCCCAAAGATATGATGACGGCTTACTCATTGTTCGTAGGAGTGGGAAAATGTCAAGTTTGAATATAAAATAGAAGTTTTCCGAAGAAAAATGGAAAGATCGAGATAAATGGAAGATTTCTGATAAGCGCAAATCAGAGCGGAAAAGGAAAGACCAACCGCCTAGAGAAGGAGTATATAAGTAGAAGGTCGAGGACAAGAAAAAGGGGACGATTTTTGGAGCTCTCATCTCAGAACTTTTACAACTCTTTTATACTTAGAACTCTCTGAACTTAGACACTTAGTCTTGATTCTCGACAAGTTCGGTTTCTATGACTGACACTCAGTTACTAGTCGAACTCGCCCAGGCAGTTCGATCTCTTGTCCAGCTCTATCAATTGAACTACATTCGGCTTGATCCTCAAAAGGGGTACGTAGGCATCCTTTCATAAGGTTCAGTCCGAAATCAATCAAAACCTTTTTCTTATCTTTTTCGTCTTTTGTTATCGAGCTGCGACTCAACTAGGTTTAGGGTTTTATGTTACTAGGTAACTCGCTGACGGCCCC